AAATCAGTGATGCCCAGCACAATATATTCATAATTACTATTATTGTCACTCTAAATATTTCAGTTGATGAGATGAGGGCAAGAGTTTTATTTTTCAATTTAAAATTCCATTTATTTAATTTATTACAATATACTTTTTCTTTCATAACCACATCCTTTAGGAAACTATCCTCTTTGCATGGCTTAGACTTGACCTGGCAGGAATGTCCTGTTATTTGTGATAAAGAAAAGCCTTTAGCCCTGAATGGTTGGTTGTCTTCTTTTTTAATGTGGTCTGAGACCCTGACATTTACAGAACTCAAACTGTAACCAAATTCTGGTGGCATCTATTATTCTTAGAATGTTCAGATTACTCTATTATCTTCAGTTTCGGATACTTATTAATAGTTTATATGTCTTTTTACTTTCATACTTGGGGCATGTATCAGAAAAATACAATTTAAAAATAGTTCTTTAGCACCCTGTGCTGAGTACTTAGCTGTTAATCATCCCCTCACCCACCTGCCCAGATTAGCACTGTGTTGGTCTTCCTAATCTTTCTAAACTTTAAGTACATGTATAAATCAAGTGTACTTATAAATTGGGGTGTATTTATGAATTGAAACATTGAAATTGAAGCCATCTAAAAGTGAGAAACATCAAGTTAAATGTATATGTTAGACCCCTAGAGAGGAAACTTTTAGGTTTAGAAATATTTGATGTTCTCAAATGAAACACTTGGTAGATGGGACTACATGATGATATTCTTCTGTTAATAGAGAGGTATGATATTTCTCCATGTTGGCCTACTAGTCATTTGTCTTTTTTGGCTGGCTTATGTCATTTGCCAATTTATTTAATGGCTTTATTAAAGTACCCTTACTGATTTATATAAACACTTAAAATATCTCAGTAATTTTCTACGTTTTTCTCAATTTTTCTGCATCATTTTTAAAATAGAGATTTAAATAATTTTTGTGATCCCCTCTGTCAAACTTTTAATCCTTCATTAAAGTAAATTTCTACATGTAGTATTGCCAGGTCAAGGGAGTGAATTTGATAGAGATTTGAGTGACAGTGGCTACCTTTGAAAGATGTCTTTGTAGGCATTCTGAAAAAGGAAGAGGACAAATGTGCGCAGGTTCTATTTGGCTTAGAATAATACATATTATTTAACTTACATCCTCATAATAGGCTTTAGTTTTTCCCCTCTGAGATATAAAATAGTAACACCATGTGACCATTGCATTTAATGTGGGTGTCTGTCACACAGTAATGAACACTATTCACTGGAAAGAGTTTTGTTGATTGTTGACCTCTGTCCAAGATCCTTGCCTGTGTGCCCTGCCTCACTGAGCAATAACTCAAGAAGTAGATGTGTCTGTAAAGGCAAGCTGAAATCCTTTTTAAAAAGCTTGAGAGTAAAGTTGAAAAAAATCCAACAATGAAATCAGGAGCCTACATCTTCAGTCACTTTTATGAACTAGAGCAACTCTTCTTATTTTCCTTTTACACAGGGCAAGAGAGTTGCCAAATTAACAACTCAGTGGCTAGTAATGAATTTCTGACCCTGTCAGCAGTGTTTATTGTGGGAAAACCAGTGCTCCTGAGCCTCGTTACTCTTAGCTTATTGTCTTACTTACTGCACCCAGTGATTGCTACCCTCTTTTCCAGTGGCCCCTAATTCTTGTGTCTGTACTATCCAATACAATACCAGTAGTCATATATGGATATTTCAGTTTAAATTAAATTAAGTCAGTTTGTTGTTCACATAAGCCACATTTCAAGTGCTCATTGGCTACATACTGCCAGTGACTCCCATATTGAAGAGTGCAGATACACACCATTTCTATTGCTTCAAAAAGTTGTAGTGGACAGTGCTTAAGAGGGACAGCAGGCAACCTCCACCACATAATGTGAAGAGAAAAATCACTCATTTCCTTACTTTAAAGGGACGTTTCTCAACATCTTTTGCCCATCTTTTATTTCCAAAGAGAAGTATAGTTCATTCTTTCCAGTGTGATCCTTTTCCTCACATACTAATCTCATCTAGAGGTTCTAAACTGAAGGGAAGCAGTACATTGGACTTCTGGTGGTTCTGAAACCCTCCTTCTTAACTTCTGTTACTCATTTTCCATCAATGCATTGTAATCTTCTGCTGTGCCCATAAGCATGTCCAAAGGTCCCCTTTTCCTTTCTCTTCACCAAATATTTCTAAAAAATAATGAGTACGCCCTGTCTGCAGTTTCTCACTGCTTATTCCTTGGCCCTTACAGCCCAGATTTATTCCTCATTTCTGACACACCAGTGACACAGTTCCTGTAAAGATTTCCATCTGCTCTCTGACTGCTGAACCTAAACAACCTATCTTATCTTAGTCATGGGCTCCCTCAGCATTGCCCAAGGATTGGATAATCTGGGGCAGCTCTTAGTTTTCTTTCGCCTTTGCTATTGTAATGGAAAGGTTTCTCCTTTGTCCTCTCAGCTTCTGAAGTTTCCAAACTTATCCTGAACTCCACATCAAAAGGTCAAACGTATGTTGGACATCTCTTTTAAGCGTATCCTGCCTGTATCTCACCATGAGAACATCAGTTCTAATGATAAGTTCTTAGCTCCTGGGCATGATTTTCCTTCTGATTTCCTTATAAATAAAAAAAAAAAATACCACCATGCTTTTAGCCACTTTTTTTTCCCTCGTGTGTTGTTTGTCTTGTGTGTTCTGTTTGTTTGCCTTAGCGTATCCACTTTATACGGTGATGGTTTTTCTGGCCATCCCTTGTTCCTAACTTTTACCTGTTCCCCATTTCAGGTCTGATTCTCTTTTTTTCTTTGCCTTCAAATATTTGACCCGTATACTGGTGCTGTTTCTTCCCATCTCTCTATTCTTATATTGTTGCCAGATAAATTTTTTGAAGACCATTTTAAGAAAAACCCACAAACCCACACACATAATGAAGATATATGCATAATGATTAGTTATTTAAATTTTTGGATAAATAATCTATTCCTATGGTTTAAAAATCAAAAAGTACCAAAAAAAATTCAGTGAAAACCTTTGCTCTCACTCGTTCCTTTCATATCCTTTGTCTTCTCAGATGCTATCAACCAACAAGTAGTAATGTATACTGATTTTATATTTATTTTCTTCTAGACAGAATTAATGTATATGCAAATACATAGTTATGTGTATGTGCATGCATTTTCCTTTCCTACAAAATGGTAGCATATGAAATAGACTATTTTACCTTATCCCTTACTATCTATTTAGTTCTGAAGAACTTATCTTGGCAATCACGCCATAAGAAGTTCCTTCACACTTTTACAGCTATACAGGATTCCTCTGTGAATAATTGCCATAATTTATTTAACTAGTCCACTCTTTGTCTTTCCTTTTTTTTTTTTTTGGTGCTGGGATCGAACCCAGGGCCTCACTCATGCTAGGCAAGCGCTGTACCACCGAGCTACATCCCAGCCCTAACTAGTCCACTCTTGATGGACATTTTAACCATTCCCAGTCCTTTGTTTTCCAACACTGCAGCAAGGAATGACTCTTGCACAAGTCATTTGCTCCAGTTCCGGTTATCTGCAAGTGACTTGTGAGTGCCAGTTTTTTTGATGGTTTATTCACTGTTATTTGACCATTCACAGTCCCTGCTTCTAGTGTGCTGCTTCTTATATTCTAGGTTACAGATAGTTCAGACCCATACAGATACTTCAAAAGCCTTTGAGGACTCTCTCATGGCAATAAATCTGTCTTTGCCCTGCTATGATAGGGAGGAAGCAGACAGCTCTATACACAGTAACAACCAGTGAAAGGACTTGACAGTGTTTTACCTGTTGGATTCAGTGTTCTAGATAAATGGTTCTACTGGTCACTCCCCTAACATATCCCATGCATTTCTGTCTCCCTTACTTTGCACAGAGTGCCTGTCCTTTATTCTCTTTCTCTTGCTTTCCAAATCTGTTTAATACTTTGAGATAACTCACCCACCACCACATTCATACAGCTTCCTTGAGTCCTACTTGCCTCTGATAAAAATAGAATAGCTTTCTATTGAGTACTCTAACAGGGTGTTTTTTTCTTGGCTGGATTGCATCACAATATTTATGCAGTTTTCCTAACTTCTCTACTAGTTTAGTAATGTCCTAAATATAAGGATGGTATCTTGTTTTGATTTCTCATTTCTCAAGTCTCTTAATATGGTGTCTTGCATATACTATTGAATTTTAAAAGCAGTATTGATTCTATTCTTTTCTGACAGAATGAGTTTCAGTAATAATCTTAATGCAGGTATCACCCCTGTCCCTATGCATTCTAGCTATTTTTTAAATTAAGAATACCTTTTAGGCTTGGGGATATTGCTCAAAGGTAAAGTACTTTCCTAGCATACACAAGGTCCTGAGTTTGATCCAGAGAATATCAACAAAACAAAACTTCATGTCTGACACATAGCTGATAATTTAAGCTGGGTCTCTGGTAGTGTGTAGTCTGAGCACTCAGGATTTTGAGGCAGGTGATAACAAGTTCTAGGCCATCTTGTACTACATAATGAGACCCTGTCTCAAATAAAACCAAAACAATACAACAAAATGCCTCTTATCTGCCTCCTAGAAATGTATATAAGAGGCTAGGGTCATGAAGTCTTGCATTCCTAGCATTGCTCCTGTGATATCCTCAGAAATGAGGGTGCCATTCATTCCACATTTATTTTGTTGTCAACTGTAAGTATTGGCAGCACCAGTATGCTGTTCACATTACAGTATCATAAGAATTTACTGTTCATTATGGAGCCAGGTATGTCTTGTTATTAAGTCTTACATTTATTTAGAAGTAAAGATGCCTTCTCTATAGCTTTAGTTTTAATTTACAAAATAGTCAATAAAGATTAACACAATCTGATGTCTCCAGTGCAGTTTTGACTATGTCTGTAGAGAGTAGAACAGTAAACCTGCATTCAGACTGGGATGTTGCTGAGGAATAGCCACCCCTATGGTAATGCATTCTCTTTTTTGGACTATTAGGTTTTTGAAGAACCCTCCATAAGCCTTTTTGCTCTGGAACATTGTGAGGGAAGAGAGTTACATCTTGAAGAGGCTGTGAATTCTGTTTTGAACAAAGACCTGCACTTCTATACTCAGTCTGTGTGGGTAAGAAGTGGACTGTAAGTATAAGAGAAGGGCTTGATCTGGTTTGATCACTATATTAGGAGAAAATGCATGAATGCTTTTTATTTCCTCACTGCTCTTGTTTTGTTATTATAGTGTTCTTACTCCTTTTATCTCTTGATGTAGTGATAGAAGCTTGTGTTTAAATAAGAGAAGACTAAGCCATGTGTAGTAGGTCATATTGTGCAGTGGTCTTGGATAGACCCTTTGGGCTGCCACCCCATCAGAGCATGTGTCATAGAGTAGTTCAACCAGATGACCTTCCCTAGTGGAGCCCACTTTCCTTTCAGGATACATTTTCTATTTTTTTTTTAATTAAATTTCCAACATTTACTAAAAATGTCTTCTGTGACTTTTAAACGTAACTATTTTAAAAATACACTAGCAAGTGTGAGACCCCGAGTTCTAATCCAAGTATTGCCCCAAATCCCTCAAAAGTACATAAAAATTAACCCTTTTACTATACCAGAAAAAAATGGAGGTTTTTTTTTTTTTATTCATATGTGCATACAATGTTTGGGTCATTTCTCCCCCCTTCCCCCACCCTTTCCCTTACCCCCCCACCCCCTCCCTCTCCCCCCCATCCCTTGCTACCCGGCAGAAACTATTTTGCCCTTATCTCTAATTTTGTTGAAGAGAGTGTATAAGCAATAATAGGAAGGACCAAGGGTTTTTGCTAGTTGAGATAAGGATAGCTGTACAGGGAATTGACACGCATTGATTTCCTGTGCATGTGTGTTACCTTCTAAGTTAATTCTTCTTCAGGATAAATTTTCATAAGTCATCAGTTTTGACTGTGAATACCATTGCCTGTATAAAGCAAGTGACTGCAAGACTAAGACTGTTTTGTTGTATTTTGATTTGATCTCTTGTTTATTCCAGAGCAGTTGTCTACAGGGTATTCATTTTCATGCAGAACATACTGGCTGACATAGCCTTGCCTGTCAGTGTTTTTGTTCATTTAGGTTATGAGTCAGGATGGACCCAGGTTGTGTGGGGACTATATTTTCACAATTTCGGAAGCTACTTTTAGGAAAGGAAATTAAAAATTATTAATACAGAAATTAGCTATGTACTTGAATATTTATTTATAACAAAAAATGTTGAGAGGCCTGCACATTGGTAGCCTTGAAGTTGAAGCTGTGTTTGCTTCCTGGAAAAACCTGCTTCTTGGTGCCTTTTCTGAAAACTTTACAAGCCAACTCCTGCATTGTTAGAGTTTTATACCAAAAGTCACCCAAGAGACACACACACACAGCTCTTGATGGTTAATTTAAAAATGACTGTTTTTACTTCTCATGGCTTTGAAAGTGTGTGCTAATCAACTCTGTTTGTTTAAATATCTGGGGATAATCAAGAAAGCCAGAAGGATAAATTAAAAATTAAGTCAACTATTACAATAAATGGCTTATATATTATTCTCATGTATAATAGCTTAGATTTTCTTCTACAAAGGATTTCACATGGTTTGGTGTTTGTTAATATAAATTGATATCTCTGTCCAAGCATATGATTCCAGAATATTATTTGCCAATTAAGTCCATTTGAGCTGAATTTTACATCCCTGTGATACAGGACTTGCACAATTTTGCACGTTTTTTTTTTACATTCCTGAGTTAGACTGATGCTTGACTGAAACCTTCTCATCTTATTTTTACTCTTTTTCTGGAAAACACATGCTATTTTATCTTAACATTTTTATTGTCTTTGGCTTATTTGCTACCTACTACTCCAGAGAATAGTGCTACAGAGATTAAAAAGCAAGGGCTATTTAAAGATTTTCCTAGGCTACAAGTGGCTTGCAGGATACCATTTAATTGGGAGCCACCTACCTTCAGTGACAAGTTGTATTTTTTTAAATCCCCATGTTATGTCATGTCTTTGATCTGTGATGGTAATGAGGGCCATGCATTAGTGCATCATCCCACACAGCTTTTCGACCTGTGGAATTCATTAAGATCTTTTACTTAAGTAAAAGTGCATTTACTTAAAATCTTGCCTAGATTTTATAACTGAAACTTGTGGTTCATTTAAAGAATCTGTGAAGGGCTAGTAGCATGGCTCAAGTGGTAGAGTATCTGCTTAGCAAGTGTGAGACCCTAAGTTCAAACCCCAATACTGACCAAAAAAAGAGAAAAAAATCTGAAACTGAAAAGATGGCTAAGCTTCTCTGCTGTCATGATGATTTACCCTTGCACTGGTCTGATGGTTCAGATTTATGTAGGCAAGAAGGGAGGGTCATCCATCTTGTTCATCTGTCCATAATTTGACTACTTCTGATCTGATCTCATTTGTGAGGGTCGGGATGGATTTTTTCCTTTCAATAGTTTGCATACATCAAGCTTTCCTTAGTTCCTACCTTCTTTCCATAACTTTATATACAAGTTGATGTCTTTTCCTGAACTAACCAAGGCACATGTCCCTAAGGAACATTGCCCTACAGAGTTATAGTGGGATTATGGTCTCCCTTTGAATGTTAAAATGCTATGGAAAAAGTCTTAGTGTTATCAAAGGAATATAGAATTTCAGAGACGGACACAGCCTTGCATTCATCTTGAAGGAGCCCGACATCCTGATTAGAATTCAGATTTTCTGACTCTAGTCCAATGGGCTTTCTCCTAGCTGTTTTTTTTTTTTTTTCCTGTTAGGGAAAAATATGTGATTCTATTTAAAAATACCTACAAACCTAGAAGTTGTAAGTAAAGAAAAACCCTATAGTACAATAGCAGATATTTTTGATGAGATTACTTTTTTGTTCTATAGTGCCCTACTTTTTTCTTTATTACTTTCTTGTAGATGGATAGCTTATGAAGGATCCAATTTCTTAGGAAGACAAATCCTACTCGAGCCTAATGAGATCCCAAATTGGACAGCATTTAGTGGATGGAAAACAATTGGTTCCCTCCGTCCTATGAAGCAGGTAAGGAACAAAGAACCTTAAGATGAGATCCAAACAGCTTGATTTTCTAGCAGAAATGTAATAAGCCACAGCATCCAAAATACCACTTACTTTAGTTTGCCTTTTATGTAGCAGGGGGAACTGGATTAGTATGCTGGAATCTTGTACTTTCAGACAATTCATAAAATTGTAATCTAAGGTCATTAGGTTTTAGCTTTGAGTCCAAAGTTTTATTGAACTTGTTCTTTTTTCATGGAAAAATAAGATATTGTCTGCTGTGTGGCAAACAGTGAAAACCAGAATGAACTAAGCTAGTTTTACTTAGTTTCTGGATTTTTTTTTCTCCATTTACATAATACTCAGGTTGGATCCTGGCAATTTAGTTCCAATAGTATTTATGGCACACCTACTGCTTGTCAGTCTTCTGATCCATAGCTTCCCACTGCACCTAGGATACAATCTGTGCTCTTTAGCATGGCCTGCGTGATCTGAATCCCCATTGCTTCACCAGCCTCACCCCTCTCTGAGTTCCTCCTTACATGGCTGTCACAAGCACCAAAGTGTGGAGTGTTTTCCTATTCAGGCTGCTAACTAGGCTGTGCCCTCTACCCCAGTTCACTTTCTTTCTTGTTTGCTAGTACTGGGGTTTGAACTCAGATCCTTGGCCTTGCTAGGCAGGTGCTCTACAACTTGAGACCCTCCAACCCTTTTTGCTTTACTTACTTTTCAGATAGGGTTGTGCACTTTTTGGCTGGCCCCATCTTGGAGCACAATCATCCTATCAATGCCTCCCACAGAGCTGGGATTGCAGCTGTGTACCATCATGCTTGGTTTGTTTTTTGAGATGGGGGTCTCACTGATTTTTAGCTTAGACTGGCCTCAAACTGCAATCCTCATCTCTGCTTCCTGGTATTACAGGGGTGAACCACCATGCCCGGCATAGTATATTAAGTAACCCTTTTTCTTTTTAAAAAAAATGTTTTGGTGGTACTGGGGATTGAACACAGGACCTCAACCTTGCTAAACAAGCACTCTACCACTTGAGCATACCCTCAGTCTGCCTGAGTAGTTCTTAATCAGTATGAGTTTAATGTGTCAGATCCTCACAGGTGCCTTTCCAAAAGCTTTCTCAATCTAAATGACATTCTAACACACCTGGTTCTTTTTTTGCAGTATGAGTACAGTGAAATTGGGCTCTTGTTGGTGGAAACTTCATCGAGAAGTAGCTGTGCCTATTTTGCTTATTGCTCTGTTGGGAGAGCCCATCACAATGTCTGTCACCTTATAGGAGCTCAGGGACTATTTGTTCATTGAAGAAACAAAGGTGTAAATGAATGAATGAATGCTTAGTATCATATAATGCATAATGAAATACACATGAGGATACACATGAATTTTGCCTTAAGTAAAGCATGGTAGAGTTGGACATGGGTAAAACATGTCCAACTCAAACCAGTAACGTATAAAATACAAAATGACATACAATCATAAAAAAGCCACAGGCTTAGAGAAGGGAAGTATCGTGTGTAGGCTTTGTGGGGAGGTTTTCTGGAAGGTGGAGAACCCAAGTGAGGCTGAATGGTGATGGTGGGTGGATATGCCATCTGTACCTCTCTCTAATTTCTTTAGATAACACTTCAATTCTGACAACAGTCCTTTGAAGTAGGAATTATGCTCATTTTCTAGTTGGAAAAATAAGACTCAGAAGTAAAGCACATTGACAAAAGCAATCCAAGTGTTAGAACCAAGATTTGGACCCAATTCTATTTTGTTCTAAAATCTGTTCTTAAAGAACACAGTGTACTTTTCCCTAAAATCAGGTCTACATTTACAGAGTACCACCATACGTTTTAGGCAGTGAGCTGAATGTAGCATGGTGGATACAGCTCTGAAGCTCTGATGTGTCCACTGTACACATTGTTAAACAAAACATTATCCTAATTTGATCTGCCCTTGTTGTCCCTTCACATGAACATGTACGTGTACACACGTGCATACACCACACTCATTCCCACCACTTTTGTGTTCATTTGGATCCTAGCTCTGCTGTTTGTAGTCAGTGAGACTTTGATGAATCCCTTTGTTTCTTGGCACCTCAGGCTCCTCATTGCTCGAACCATGGTTACACTGCTTACATCTCATCATTGTGAGAATTTAATAACAATGTACGTAAAGGGTCTGATATAACATCTGGTCCATATTACGATGGCAGATAATGCATTTACTTTGAATTAAGGGACATTGTTCATAATGTCCAAAGAGAGCCAGGGATGCTCTGAGAATACCAAAGCATTAGTGGCTTTCCTGGCAGAGTATGTGGCACAGGATCACATTACCTGTGCATTTTGTTTATTCCTCACTCCCAGTCCATGGGATGATGGGTATGATGGGTATGATGGGTATGATGGGTAATCCCACTGGAAAGCCATAGGAAAAAGCGAAGTTGATGTAGGGATTCAGTTTAGCTTTTACTAACTACAAAATCATGTGACTCTTAGCAAAATTTAACTTTTTTTGGGTGATGCAAGAGATCAAAACCATGGCCTCTTGCATGCTAGGCAACTGCTCTTCCACTGAGCTACATTCCCAGTTTTGTGGTACTGGGGTTTGAACTCAGGACCATGCTCTTCACTCTTACACTTGAACCACACTCCCCCAGCCCTTTTTGCTTTAGGTGTTTTTTGAATAGGGTCTCACATTTATGACTGAACTAACCTGGACAATGATCCTATTTATGCTTCCTGCATAGCAGAGATGACAGATGCATGCCACTGTGCACAGGTTTTATTGATTGAGATGGAGTCTCGTAAACTTTCTGCCTGGGTTGGCCTCAACCGTGATATTCCCAATTAGCTATGATTACAGGCATGAGCCACTGCAACCAGTTATATTCCTGATTTTTGACTGATGGGTCCCTGCTGGAGAAGAAGATCCCTCCCCACTGTTGAGAGTCCCTAAGTAAAGAGTAACAGTAACCTTTAATTTTGTAGTAAAAGACAATAAGAATGCTATTATCATGCATTGTGCTTTCGGGGCTACCTGATTCCTATCCTGATTAAACATTTAATTTTAATTTCCCTATTTATTTTTCTATTGTTTATTTAGGCCACAGCCTTGAAACCCAACAAAGGAATTCTGAGTTTCTAAAATAGTAGTTTGTGGGCTATATTTAGTTTTTAATAAAGGTATTGTACTGCTTTAGTTCATATTCCTGTTTAGGAACTCAGGAATAATTAAAATGTGAGCCTCTTTGAGGTTGGGAATTAGGAAGTCACTAAGGTACTTATAATGCATATTAGTGTTTTTAAGTATAATTACAGAGGAGTCAGACTATAAACATGTAATAAGGGTAGTTAGTATCTTGCTTGATTTAATTGATTAAAACTTATGTTTAGTCCTAAAGTAACTGGAATTCTGTCATCTGTGAAGGTCATACCTGTTTTTGTACAAGTACAAGGAATGGAACTGTAATAAAGACATTCTCAATCTTCAAGAACTGGTAACAGTTGCATTGGGAGACTAGTTTGAATTATAGATATTTAAGTGCATCACCGCTGCATTATGAATGCAGAAGTAATGGTTCACATTTACAACATTTTGCCAGAGAGGTCTTGTTTGCTTGCTTTAATTTCACCCTTCTGTTTGTTAACTTGAATGTTAATTTCTTTAGGATTGCGAAACAATTCAACGGGCTTCTTCTTGATGTTATTATAGGTTTCAAAATATAACATTCACTGGTGGTCTTACCATACCATGTTGCATTGTTGTATGTACCTAGCCACAGTTAAGTTTTTCAGTGAAAGTGCTCTTATTAAGTAGCAGACTATTTGTTATTATTTAGCCAAAGTTCTAATTGGGATGCCAATACTCAACCAAAGGAGGGAATGCTAGTGTCCAGTGTTTTGTTAATCTAGGGATAGAGGCCTGAACCATGGCTGGAAGAATGGATGCTGTTGCACTTCTATCATGTGCTCTGCTCTTTCATTGCATTGACACCCTTTGTACTAATCTCTTATTCTCTGTCTTAAGAATAGCTAGTGCATTTCCACATAGGTCTTAGAGCACCTTGTTTAAGAAGAAAGATTTTGGTGCAGAGATCTGGCTCCAGATCTGTGTTAGATTTACTTGTAAAACTAGGACCCTAATTGTACTTTCCACAAGGGTTCTGTTTATTCTAATAAATAATAAATAGTACTATGACACAGAAATCATTTAGAGCACTGCTTGACATATACTAAGGGCTTGATAAATATTAGCAGTTGTCCTTAGTGCCAAGCCTTAGATTTAATATTTTATTTTAAAACATGCTGTGTATAGTAAAGACAAAGGAGTGAAGTCCTTTGTTACCTGATATTTTAATCTGTAAGTTGTAATTAAATATATATACATTTATTTATAAGTATTACATTTATATATTTTTATATATATATTCCCTTCTTTTGAAGAAAGAGTAAGGTCCTAGATAAACAGATTACCACAACTACTATGTCCCTTAGCTGTCTGGGCCTTTCAGGACCTTCCATGCAGTCATTTTGCCATTTAATCATAGCTCAAGACAGTATGTCTGATTACTGTTCTTGGCTTTCCTGTTATTGTAAGATCCAGGTAGGCAGTACCTGTGTCCCCTTACTTACCTTCCTCAACATAATTGTGACATACTATTTAATGAAACTTCCAAGTCCCTAATTCTTCACTGCCTGTCTTTTCTACATAGTATTGTAGTGAATGAAACTATCACCTTATTACCCTTCTAAAACGGTACTTTTCAGGAAATGTAAGCTTTGTGTTCAGTAGTCTTAAGCATCAATAGAAAACCCTAATATATTAGCTAATGGAAGTTAAGTGTGAAACTAATAGAAATCAGCTAGTCACCTCTTACCTCCCCTCCTAGCTTGCCAGTTTTGGAAGGATTGCTTTCCAGATTGGAAAGGTTATTTCTAAATGACTTTATTTCTCCCATCACAGCCTGCAGTATACATCAGAATAAAGAACCGAGCCCACGATAGATATCTGACAGTCACTGGAAGTCTAGCTGACACCAGGGCGATGTCTGTGTGTCTCTCTCCCTATTGTGGAAAGGATACTCAGATCTGGCACTACTGTCGAGGACTTTTTAAATCCAAGGTAAGTAATCTCACTGACAGGGAAATTTTTGTTTCCACTTTTTGTTGTTTGGCTTTTCTTTTAAAAAACTAGAATATTGCCAAATCAATCGGCATAAATAAAGTAGTACAACTTCGTAGAAACAGTTCATGGCATAATTGTAAAAAGTTATATGTATACTACTCAAGCATTTAAATAAAATGGACTTAAAAGAATTTCTTGATTAGGAAATCTAGTTTCAGTTTTTAAGTAAAAGTGAAGGTTATCTACTTGGGATATCCATTTGGGAAGATATGCCAAAATAATTTTTTTTTCAAACCAATGATGTAAGTCATTGGAGCCAAACTGGACAATGAACTTTTGGGAGATGTTTCTCGTGATGACCCAGATAAAATGAGCTGACTGTGCAATTACAAAAATGGCAAGATTCTTTCATTTCAAAATATACATTGATGTTAGTAGTAGAAGAAAGAAGCTGTTAATAGAAAAAATTTTAAAAATGAAATTTAGGTTTTTTTTATTCCATAGTATCTCATTATGTTTGATGCTATGGAAGACAGAACAGTAGTTTAAAAAATAAATGAAAATATGCTTTATAGTATCATCAAGGGCCTATCTACTTCTCATGCCTCAATAAATAAGCATTTAAAAGTATTTATTGTCTGGTTAGCACATCACCCAATTTTTTAAAAAAGAAAACTAAGGTTGACATAATACATTTAGGATAACAGATTTAACATTTAATTGCAGCTCCAAAAACCTTTACTGAACATCTATTGTCAGATGCATGTGTCCTTTTAAAAACAAGTTCAGCACTTAAATTTCAGTTTCTATCCTATTTCCTACCCCCAGATATACATGAGTTTTAAAAAGGCTTACTGAAATTACACTGTAGTATTCTTTTTAGTTAAGACAAAGCCAGAAACAGAGATAGCTTAATGTCTGCAACTTGTTCACCTGAAAGAAAAGGGATGGTATTCAACTTGTTTTAGCAAATGCAGTACTGCTATTTTCTTAACGACTATAGGCCAGTGGTACATGTCTTGATGTGATTGGTGGCCGGGACACACCTGGAGCTAAGGTAGCCCTATGGACTGAACATGGTCAATTCAGGCAGAAGTGGAGACTGAATAAAAACAGGACCATCAGCTCTTATCTCAGTGATCAACTTGTCCTTGATGTTAAAGGTGGGTCTTTGTTAATAACAAATGTTGTGTTCTGGATATCAGTTTAAATTTCAAACTTACTCCTCCTGAGTAAAGGACATCCTTATAAGAGAAATGTTGTCACTTTTTAATTATGCTTGAAAGGAGTTAAGATGTGTAGTTTTACAAAGGAAATAACGAGCTATATGGGTAAAGCAACAAAAAATAAGTCTAAAAGGTTTTTTTGTTCATTAACACAGTTGTAAAAGTTTCATTTGCAACAGTTTTTGTGAACTCTGAGAACAGTTCTAAATTTGAAGCATCATAAACCATACAATGAATGCCATCTGTTTCTTGAAAAGAAATACCTCTAACTTTTTGCCCTAAATTGCATGGTCCTTAAAAGCCCTCAGTTAAAATTTACGGCAAAGGGTCAATTAACCTTGTTTTTTAATTCAATAAGGTCAGGGCCAATATTATTCTTGGTTATTGCTTTACTTGGGTTAGTCACAGCCACTGCTGTAGAATCAAAAACACAGCACCTGACACTCAATCAGACTTCTCTCAGGGCACTTTGTTGTGAAAAATGGCATTGTTAGGGCGTATTGCTTTGTACAATCACATTTTACACCTTTTAGCTTTTCAGTTTGAGTCATAATAGGAAGGTGTAATTTGAAGTGAATAATGTCTACACCTGTTAAAACTCAGTTTCCCATTTCACACTGCTTTGCAACTGACATATTAATCTACTTTCCAAGTGGGTTGAAAAAAATTGTGGAAATTATGAAATTGTTAAGTACCTGTGTGAACAAACAATCTTTTCTTTTGGAATTTCTATTTTAGGAGGAACCTATTATGACAAGACTCATGTTATTGTAAATCAGCCCCTGGAGGGAGAAGAAACACAGCAATGGGACATTGAGATAGTGTGAGAATCAAAACCATTCCTACAAAGTACAAAGGAACCTTACCTCATTGTCCTGCAGAGAGGAAAGGAAGCCACTGTGCTGGATTGCTGAGCAGAATGAACTTTTTCCAAGGCTTTATGACCACTGGCTCTTTAACCGTGGAAAAGCTCAAGATATACTTAGCAGTTATTCGTTGTTCCTATGAAGAAAATGTTATGATTTCTAGGAAAGGTTCTATTCCCAGTGGTTACCAGTTGTGGTGAACAAGTTTCTTGAAGTCTATTCTCTCTCTTAACCACCAAACATGAATCCTACTCCTGATGTACCATTATAGGACACCAGTGACATGGTCTTCTGTATCAGTTAGTATTCTGCTACATGCTTGTGTGGAGTGCTAGTCATAGGGAAGGACACTCCTATAGGTTGTCATACGTTTGCAAAGAGATGAATAATTTTTAGCAACATTAGGCAAAAGCACCCATGCTGGAATATTTTCTGTGGCTATTCTTTACTGTTTTTTAAACTAAAACAGTGTAACTTTAGAGCACCCATCTTGTAGTCCATTGTTAACAGAAATCCCTGTATGTCACAAGACCATTAATAATGGTCACCTATTCCTGGTGCTGACACTTCATCCTTGATTTTGCCTGATTTGTGCTAAAGAGAAGTTTTACACACACACACACACAGTCAATATACTTAAATATATATAGACTATATGTCAGTTTTTTCTTCATCTGCCTGAAGTAAAAGGAAATTCTGTATGTTCAAATTAAAGTGTTTGGGCTTTGACCGTACCATCTTACTTTGAGTAAAGGTACAGTTGATTTCTTTATTCAGTAATAGAAAACTCAGTTTTCACTCCCATTTTAAATAGCTTACAGTTAAGCAAAATCAGGTAGGAAATCATCTCTGGGGGCTTAGTTTCCAATAATCCATTACCATCTTTAACAGCACAACTCATAACCATGTTTTCCTTCCTGGGTTAGATTTAAACTTAACCTTGAGACAACTGTTCCTTTCATCCCCAGCTTTTACCAGGAAAAAAAAAATGCTGTATTTTTATATAGAAAGATTAAATTCTCTAGTGATATATTTTAAAATATCAACCTTCTCTATGCACTTTAGAATGTAAAATAACAGTGGATAGTTTGAATACAAAGACCCACTATTTTGAGTATTTTTTATAGACTTGGTCTTTCCATGTAAATACTGTATTTTTTCCTTCAGTCTCATGCTTTTTTCATCTTTTAAGCAGAATCTGAAAAAAGTCCCCATATCCATATGTTGAGTGCCTCTCATGGGTGTGGTAATATTATTTAATGGAACTTATATTACAGAGATAACTATTTTAACGGGGGGGGGGGGGGAGGGGGATTGTATACACAAAGGTATGTATGTTTGCATTGTAAAAAACCAACTTTCTTCATGTTAATTGTTTAAAAAAAATTTTTTTTGGAGCCAAGAAGGCTCTTTAAAGAATGTTACTTCCAAAGAACAAAGACAAAGCTAGGTTAATAATATTTAATTCGACACAATACATTTATTTGAGTTACGTCTTTCCTATCACATTGGATTAAATAAACTCATCAAAAGTATGGTATGTCACACTTTGGGACACCTGTTTTTTCTTCCACATGCCCATTAGTACAGGTGCTTTTTAGAGTAGATATGCAGGTAAGGAAAGATGCCATTTTCTCCTTAGTTCAGGTACATTAATATTCTTTCTACCCAGAGTGTTGACTCAGAAAAACACGAGCTACCTCAAACTTAAATCATCCTTTAAAAAAAATGTGCATATAAAGTACTTATTTGATTTTGTAATGGCACTACACTACTTGGATTAAACATTCTGTCCAGAGGGATAATACAAGGCTCTCCTTTTCTTCATCTGTGGTAAGTTTCAGGTCTTTAACAGAAATAGCTGAATTGTTCCAAATTTGCTTCAGTGCATCCACATGTGATAAAGGAAAACGAAGTCCATGAAACTGAAAAAAAAGTTGGGTCAAAAAAAAGTCACTCAAATGGCATTTTCATACAAACTTCCATAATTCTCAATATATCATTTTATATCCCTCATAAGTCTGAACCTTGTTTCAGGTAAGCTATTTGTGTAAACTGTAATTAGATAACATAAAAGTTGTTTAGACTTCATGAACAGCATTTTACTTTAGATACTTGGTGATATTTGTCATTTAAAATGTTGCCCATTTATTATACTTTTTCTTTAAGTCCCATTGTAGTGTGTTGAAGCTGACATGTGTGTAGCAGAATTGTCTGACTTAATCAGCCATGCAAGGGTTCTGGCAGTCATGTGAAATGCTAATCCTTACTTTAGTCATAAAGCACACTGCCTATGAATCAAAAATAATTGATTCTTCCCAGGCACTGGCCAAATCACAGGAAACACATTTTCAGTTGGAACAAACCTCTATTTCCTCCTCATTTCCCATCATGTGGGTCTCTCTCTTATTCTTTAGAGAATGATAGAGGTAAACCACCTTTTCTCGAGATTCATCCTTTAAAGAAAAAAAAAAAAAGGATTAAGTCCCTAAAATACTGAGGAGGGTTTTCCAATAGGTTAACATCAAAGAAAAACCATAAAGCCTTGATGCTCAAGTGAAATTGATTCAATATTGTAGGGAATCTGCACTTTTGCATCAAAATTTATATTCTCAGATATAAACTAGCAGTTTATAGAGTGATCAGCTGTTTAGAAATACCAACTATGTGACTTATAAAAATTCCCATTTCAATTGCAGTAGCTTCCTCAAAATGATTTCTAATCCCTCACTCTCCATCCTACACAGCACAGTTCACTATCCCAGAACCTTCTGTCATTCCTGTCACTTATTAGACAAAAGCCTTGGTCTGACATCCAATGTCTCAAACTGATTGGGTATCTGAAAAAGTAGAGTTTAAAAATAAATGAACCAGGGGTGTATACTTTAAGGTCTTGTATATAGCAGTATTGATGGCTGCTACCATCTGATTAGGGAGGCAAGTGCCCCTCAGTGCTTCAGGGGATATCCCACAAGAGAACTGATTACGAGAAACTGGGAAAGTTTCTAAGTTCCCAATGTCCTTAGCATTGTACAGGAATTTCTAAAAAACCGTAACAGCGGCTCCAAACCAGATGAAATGAAAAGTAGAAGTTTATAATTTTGGAACGTTTTCCAGATTTAGGGAATCAGTGGGCTAGGTGGGAAGATTATAGAATGTGTATTTTGTTCTCCACATCTATAAAATCACATATAAAAATAGATCTGTATAGAATAGGAAGTCAAGGCAGGCACAGCTCCACATAAGGAGAATGAAGGCACTGACCACAATGATGGGCTTAAACTATGAACAGAGATGGATTCTCAAGGGAGAAGAGAAGGGACCATGGTCCTTCTGAAAACCTGAGGCCCAAGAACGAAACATCCTTCCCTCTGGATACTCACAGACTGATCCTGATCTGGCCCTACTGTGAGGACGATGTGGTCTTTAAACTGCAGTCCCACTCTGCTGTCCAACCTTGGTAACTTTCCACCTCGAAAACCCCAGAGAGAAAGCCAATCATCAAAAAAAGGAAACCAGCAGTTTCAAACTTGCTTGCAGATGCAAGTACTTAACACTTTTACTAACAATCTGCAGGAAAATCTAAACATGGGATACCCTTTCCCACTCAACTATTCATTTACCACACTTATCACAACATTTACAGTGATACTCGAAGCATAATTTGTACCCTCATGGAGCTCATTCTTACAGGGAAGACAAGACATGCAATTTGGTAATAACAATGTAAGTTAGTAAGTACATCAAATAGGGGAAAAAAGCACAGTAGCTGTCACTATAGATACAGGCCTGTTAGAATCTGCACAGAACATGCACTTCTCCAGTTTCTATCCTCAATAAGATTCTGTTCCTACATGTGGATTCTGGTGGGACTACTTGTACCAGTCCACTGACAGCTAGTTGTGAGACCTGGCAAATTATTCAGTCTCGGTCCAACAGAGTATCTTATAAAAGCCATCTAATAAAGTGGATTTAACTTAAGTTAAAAGCAGCCACTAAACACAAGCTAGCCTTACAGGGTCATTCTGGTGGTCAGAAGAGTACTTAGGGATCATAACTTTATGGAATACAGTGGCTAAGACAAAGAAACCATCAGTGTATCTTTCTGAGCCATAAGCCAGAATTCATCAAATTGTGTTTTGTGAAAAACGAAAACATTACTAGTAAAATGTTATTTTGAATAGATGCAAAACAAATTTGAAATTCCCTTCAAAGACTATACGAAAAATGTATACACAATCAATGTAGAAGAAATTTTAGCTGGACCTGGTGGCACATGCTGGAGGAGGATTGTGAGTTCAAGGCCAGCCTTAAGCGACATAGAGACTCTATCTCAAAACAAACCAAAAAAACACAAAACAAAAAAGAAGGGACTTTATAGATTATCTATTTCAGTAGTTCTCACCTGGTGATAAGACTTTTATAAAATTTAACAAAAATACTCCTTCTTTTACTCAACTCTGAGAAAGAAAAGCAGACTTAGAATTGACGTACTAGTCATACTAGGTCTTAGGATTCTCTTACTGAACAGTTTCAGATATGACCTCTCTGTGACTGAGACAGATCAACAAAAAAACCCACCACTCATGGCGCATGAATTCGGGCAAAAAAATGAACATGGTCCACACCACCACAGTGACCAAACATCCTCAGGCCCTGGCAACTGAATTACTGCTGCTGTTTACCTATTGTAACTTCAACCTCACATTGCTCTTGCCACTAGATAAGCTTTAGAATCACAGAATCCCTCCTAAACTTCCTGAGAGAATTGATCCAGCAGTGCTGTGCTTCCCCAAGCCTCCTAGTTCAAGCTGACACCTTATAAATACTTTTCTCATACCCTCTTACTGAGGTGCCCCACAGTCCCCAAGGGCATGCAGTCCTCCCCACTACAATAAGTCATAAATACAGCTGAGATCAGGAGTGTATTCTTGTTAAAGGACATTGACGTGTCTATCCAGAAGTGCACTTGTAGCCTAATCCTGGCATAAATTAGTCTTGGAAGAAAGGCAGTGAAAAATGTGGACGTTCTTGTTTTTCACCTAGTGATGACAATATTTTAACCATGCTTTCCTTAAATCCAGTAAGATTATTTTAATTTTCAAGCTCCTGAAACTTCCTGAAGATTATGATAGAGTACCTATATTTCTTACCCCCCAAACACAGGGCTTTTATTTCTCATAGTGCTAAGAGATAAATTCTTTGCGAATAATTTGTGAGGTACAGGACACTAATGAGTACATTATGTCTAGTACACACACACTAAGGATATATTCAGGTCCACATTAGTACTAACATGCTTTATACTAAAATACCAGGAAAGACTCAAAAATCCCCCATTATTCCTGACCATCTAGAAGAAAACAGTAAGCGCCACCTGGTGTCAATAGTTCTGTTCCATCTCCCACATAGTAAGGAGGGAGTCTGTGCATAACAAAATCCTTCTTCATGTCTGATGACAGCAGTTCTTTGGTGCCCTCCAGCCGGTCTGCAAGAGTCCTCAAAAAGCCACTTAATCTTCTTCTTGCAACAGTTGTGGTTTCCACCTGCTATTAAAACAGAAGTGAGCCCTGGCCCACACTCCAACAGAACTGATTGTCCAGGTTGTAAGTCTCCACAAGTAGTATGCTGAGCCTAACTCCCACCACCCACTACATATGTATTTACCTATGTAAATCCATGCATGTAATACTAAGGGAAAAAAGAGACAACCAGGATTTAAGATCCCATTACTTTCTTGTAACCAATGTTCATTTTATGCTGCCTATCATTTGTGGAAAGGGCAAACTGTCAGGATTTTGAGTGGAAAGTAGGACCCTTGGAAATACAGTGCAGCCTGGGCTCTACCTTTGGTAAGTAAGTCATTATCATAAGGTGATGACTGCCCCAGATAGGAGAAAGCAACCCTTGCTCTACTCAGCCCTAATTCACTCATCTCCTCAAAAATAACCAAATAGGATTCCTCTTTGAAAATGCAAAAAAGGACAGGAAAGCCAAGGAACCCACCATGGCCAGGGCCTCTAGGGGATCTAACTAATTATATGTACTGAATCTACATTTTCCTGGTCTCATTTATTTATTCAGTCTTTGCATGTTCTTAACCACTGCCACTGTATCAGGCAACACTCCATTTATTCTGCAAATCCTACAGGAAGTAAGCACAACAGACAAGCTTAGCTCATCTGGGAAGAAGGGTCCTGGGGTCTGTAGGAAGTAGGACTTTAGTTGGCTTGAGCTGCGATTGCCATCCTGCAGACCTTGGGAAGAAGGGTCCAGGGGTCTGTAGGAAGTAGGACTTTAGTTGGCTTGAGCTGCGATTGCCATCCTGCAGACCTACCTGCCTTTGTTGCTTACCATGAGCAGCTGCCGAGATATTCCAGTCCGTAACTCCACATTTTCCTTTGCAGTTTCAAACACAAGCCCCGAAATAGTGTCCAAAAGGAAATCGCCCCATGAACTAGAACATGCATCAAGAAGAAGAAGAAAAAAACAGGGAATACATACATAAATATACATAAAATACTTACTACTAGTAGATCCAAAAGCTACCAATTGGGTTCCAACCTCCCATTCTTAAGCACTCACTTAGAAAGTTACAGGAGGGAAGCCTGGCTTCACTAATGATTTCTCTTAAAGATACCAGAAAACTTATCTGATATTATCATATACTAGGAAGGTTCAAGGGACCAAACTTCTAACATAAGCATTTATGAGGAAAGCTTTTTAGAAACTGTAAGTCATTAAAGAACCAAGAATAAGTGTATGTAATAAATCCAACAGAAATAAATTTAGGATAATAGAAAAAATCTTGGCACTATGTAATTACTTAAACAGTTAAATGTCATATTTTCCATTGTCATTTATAAAAGGAAAACTGCTCAATAAAATATCCACCAATGTCAATCATTAATTTAAAAAAAAAATGACTTCTAGCAGTGTCTTTACTGGGTTGGAAGGTGGAAGCCAGTGATCAAAAATATCATCCTAGAGGTAAGTGTTCCATTAACAGTTTCTTCTAAGGTAGATAGAACTGGATCACTCCTAACCACATGCCAGTGTTAAGAAGGAAACACAAAGTTTTCTGTGTCACCATCACATTTAAAATTGGTAGCTATGTGCAAAATGGAAATTCACAATATTAACTTTTGCTTTTTACTCAGTAAGAAAAATGAACACTTTTTATGTTTCCCTCCTGTATAAGTAGCAAAGGAAGACAAAAGCCACTTGAAACACATTTTCTCCAAGGCATTCACGACCTGGTGGCCTCACTGCTTTGTGACTTAATGCCACATCAGATTTTGCATCTTTTATTGAACTGAAACCTAGAGGACACACACAGATCTCTGGGCAGCAAAAACTACATGCTTCCTGTGGAGGCTTATAGGTGGAAAGCATACAGCAACAGCTCGTGGTTATTTAATGGCAGTTAACCAGTGCTCTTCTAAGAGTCAGAAGAAATCTGGGGGTCTTTACAAAATTTAGGAATAACACCTCTTAAGGGCTTCATTTTGGTAAAATAGCCCACACAACAGACCCTAGTTTTTCAACAATGCTGCCTGGTAGGTGTTAGGAAGAGGTCCCTGATCTTCATTCACCACAGTAGCTGAAGGAGTATAGGAACATCTCCAGAAAGCAATGATTCTTGTGTTAGACTTTTACCATCTCAAGTTGCATTTCCCAGTGCTGCAGCATCACTGCCACAGGTCAGAGTCCAGCCTAGACCTATCAGTCACAGTGCCCACCCACAGCCCAGGGCAGCCATGTCTGCAACTTAGAAAGTTCCTTCCCATCCCTAGCTATATTGTGTGTAACCCAGGAGAAGCCTATCAGATTTCTCTTGGGATTGGGAAGCAGAGAGTGAGGCTGGTAATTAACAGAAGAAACAAATGTTAATAGGTTTAATGACGGAGGTCAAAGAAGTAACTGATGACAACTTATGATGAGCCAACATTTATTGAAGCTAAGGAAAGAAAAAAGGGGAGCAAAACGCAATTACTAGAAACCCAGATGTTGACAGTAACAAATGAAAGAGAAACAGAGAATTAGGTAGCAGAGGAATAGCTGAATAACATTAATGATGGAGCACCAAAAGATGCATGGATCTTTAAAGAGCCAAATTGTGACTGCCAAGACCCAGAGCTGCTCCAGACCCAAAGTAAACTTCTAGCTCTAGACTCACTGTGGCCTGTACCTTCTATAGTTCCTATGACTCAAATGCTACTGTGCTCCTTGACTGGACTCAAGACTCTGTTCCTCACTTCAAAGAACCTAATTAACTACCGTGACAAAGCCATTTTTTCCAAAATGTTAACTTGGGCCTTTGATTTGTGGGCAAAGACAGAACCAGGCTCTAGATAGTCCCTCTAGTAAGTCACTTGAACCTAGGATGAATTTCACACTGAAAAGTCAGATGAAGAAGCAGAAGTATGCTTACTAACTCATTTTACAAGTTATGGTTTTGTAGGTAAGAGGGGACCTGCTGCCTCCTTGGCCTGGAATGTCCTCTCCTACCCTAACCTTCTAACCCATCACTTCTTATTCATCCTTTAATATTCATTCAGCTTTGGTGTCAAGTCATTTCTGAAACATTCCCTGACACCCAAGCTAAGCTAAGTCCACTCCACTATGCATCAAGGTTCTCTATGAAAACCTACAATAGAATTTACCAGTTTGGCCACTATTTACATGTCTATCCCCTCCTCCTACCATAACTTCCAAAATATAACCTCTCTCAAATCTTTGCCAACTTGCATTCCCAGCAACTAGTAGGATGTAGTACACACCTGCTGAATAAATTAACTAATGATTGGTGTTCGTTAATGGGATGTAGACCAGCAAGGTTGCCACCTTTCGGAAATAACTCACATGGAACTGCCAACCAGTTCCTGTAATGATTTTAATTGGAACTGTTTTTTTATCACACATGCTCCCAGTTCTCACTGTTCCAGACTCCCTTTCTGACTTTAATTTCATGGACTGTAAAAAGTTAAAACCTTATGAAGTTTTAATGGTTCCAAAGTTTCTATTGGAGATGTTGGTTGTACAACAGTGTGGATGTAATTAATGCCAATAAAGTACAATTTAAAAATGGCATTTTTATGCTATATATATTTCTCTCTCACACACTCACACACAGAGGCTTACAAACTGCCTATGAATCTATCTTGGTACCAGTAACATACTGATATACCCATGGCTACATTTTTTTTTCTCTTTCCGAACGACAGGACCCTCTATTTGAGCACCCCCAATATGGTGTAACAAAATGAAAACTATGACACTCCCAAGAGGAAGTCCAGGAAGGTCAATTAGACATGGGACGTATCAAAGGAATACGGAAGTTGGCGAAGGAGGCATCAAAGACTGAGAGGTAGTGGCCAACTCTTTCAGGTCCCTCCTAAATGTGCCTGCTTTGGGCCATACTCGGAGTTATGCCATGATGCAAAGCTGGGAAGCAGAGGGTTTACTTATTCTGGTAGGTGCTGATGGTCACGTGAGTAGAATGGGCCAGCCCCGCAGGAGTGTCCGCCTGATGGATGGTCCCTCTGGGAAAGTATAACAAATCACCTGGCTAAAGAGAGAAGAGGGAAGAAGTTATAAGAAAAGCTATCTCTCAGTCCTTCCTCTTTGCTGTAAGGAGATAAAACAGAGGGTTTGAATTTCAGTTCTCATGGGGGCAAACTCTATGCTGGGCTCACGTGGTGTCTGTGAGTCTGTGAGCCTGTAACTGTGAATCACAATCTACTAGAGTCACTGTCTTTATTCTCTAGGTGCTATCGGATACATCCAAAACTGCCTTCACCCGATTTTAGGGCCCAGGAACACCTGCTCCTGGGGAGCCCACTTCCTCCCTCTTGATTAAGAGTAGGAGCTTTAATCACACAGATGCTGCCACTTACTGGCCAGTGACTAGGGCAATTTTCTTACCTGCCCCAAGCCTTAGTTTCCACATCACTAAAATGAGGTAAGAGCCCCAAACCCCACAAGAGGTGTGACTGCATTATATATTCTACCTGCCAGTTCCTCACAATGTTTTAGGTCTCCCAGGAAGGGTCAAACCAAACTCATCCTATACCCTCCACAGCCTAACCCAGCAAAGCATCTAGTACACAGCACAGGTAAGATACGTTAGATACACAAACCCTGTTGGAGTTTAAGACCTAGATGTACTAAAGACTAGCCATTTTCTTGGGCAGATGAGTTCCTCTATTCAATCTTTCCTCTTCCACAAACAGGTGCAAAGAAATATTCTCCCAAAATTATTCTGCTCTGAGCTACCCCTTCCCTAGTCTCACCCAGACCAAAACATTCTTTAAAGTAATTGCCTAAGGAGAGAAAGAATCTTGAGAGCCTCTCAACTCTCTGCAAGTAAAGGAAACAGTTGAGACCTGGTTAAGACCAGGAGCCCTGGAGACAGAGTTCAAGAAATATCAGCTTAAAAGGAATTCTAAAGATTTTCATCAAAGCAAGAGATAATACATACTTATATGTGTTCATAAGAGCAATTCTGATTGGTAGTTTGCTCTGAATGGCACCAAGCTGACAGTACTTCAAGTAAATATTCACTGATAATTATAACCATCATTCACTGTCTCTGTGCCAGCCTCTGAGTAAGGCCTTCACATATATATTTCATTTATCCCAGATTTGATCAGTGTCCCTCATCCCTTGCTGGAAAAGGCAAGGAAACAGATTCTCCCCCAGTACCCCAGAAGGAATGCAGTCATGTGTGGACCTCTGGCCTCCAGAACTGTAACAAGTCTGTGTTATTATGATAATCACTACAGTAATACAGAATTACAGATACACACACACACACACACACACACACACACACACACACACACACACACACCTCCTCCAAGAAATTTTATTGTAAAGGAAGCATCAAAATATCTTTCAATCCTTATAGACTGAAAGGTAAATACTACAATCTCCATTTTAATTAAAACAGACTTAGATAAATAATTTGCCCAAGGACATGTAGCTAAGTGACAACAGCTGAATTCAAACCCAGCTGTCAGTTTCCTAAGAGTGCTGTTTCCATTATTGGGGAGTGAGTCCCACACCCCAAGACCCCAGGTTTGGCAGGTGTACTGCACAGGCTAGCACTCTAGAGTAAGCAGGAAGAAGGGTGACCAGGGCTTTACGACTCTCAGAGCAGCCCCATGCCCTTCCCCTAATCACAGTGACTCAGTTTTTCTATCTCATGTTTGGCCTTTACACAAGAGGCCCACTAATTAAAACCTCACATGTATATATACATACACACTTGAAAAACACTGTGCTACACAACACTATCTTTCACCCTCCAGGAGACTCAGGCCTTCTCTTAATCAATGAACAGTCTATTCATCGAATTTTTAATGGGCATCTGCTCCATCTCTTCCAAGTCCCACAGCAAAAATACAGAGAATCCACACCCTCCACACTCGAAGGCCACTGAGAAGCTTGACCTTCTCAGGCAGAACAAGTAGCCGGGTTGTCAGCCTGAGCAACTCAGTCCTGGCCTCAGAGACCACACACAGTTTAGTCTTTAGCTTAAAAGCATCCAAGTGTGTATTTAAACATATTTCACCAAGAGTAGGCATTGGTAAACTCCCTGTGAAGGACCAAATATATAGTAAATATTTTTGGTTTGGGCCATGTGGTCTGTCTGGCAACCAGTAGACTCAACTGTGTTACACAACCATAGACAGTAAATGAGGAACATGTGTAGTTGGATCCCAATATACTCTATTTACAAAAACAGGCAGCAGGTCAGATTTGTAGTTGGTTACTGCTGACAAGCATATAAAACTAAGGCTACATTGATTATTGTTTATTCCCTTTAATACAGCCACTCATCCTAAAAAATGAAGATTGTTTCCCCTGATACTGGTAGGCAGGTAAAGATCTTAAAATCAAGAAAGAGACACAAAGCATTAATAAAGATTAGACACTAATTATAACTTCCAAGATGCAAAAGGTACAAAAACAATAACTATATGCAAATAGAACCACTGCAATCAGTTCTACAGCAAAAATCTTTGGAATGGTTTGAATTAATCAGTTTTATTACCTCTAAAAGAGTAAACATGTTTTCTAAGAGTATAAACTTTAATAATGAAGCTATTCCTATCTCTTTAAAGTGTTGGCATTTTTGTTGTTGACATTTTCCCTTAAGAGCCTCTCCTGCTGGAGACTGGCTATGTTCCCATCCAGGCTAAATGCTCAAGGAAAATTTTCTAAGCAGCAAGATGCCAACAAAGCAGCACATGTTAAGCTTCCCTGGAGGAGAAAACCTTAGGAGCTTTCAGTTACTATTCTTCTAGCAACTGTATGCAGGAGGAAAAGAGGGATTGCAGAGATAGTCTGCTGCATAGTCAGGAGGAAATGGGTCATACTGGAATTTTTGAAACAACAACAACAAAAAAAGGGATTCTTGGTTGTGCTCTGCTTAAGCAACTTACAGTCCCATGCTAACTGATGACTTAGATGTGGAAAAGCTGCCCAAGGCCAAACCTTTCATTTTTACCCTAGAGAAGTTAGTGGTTCACTGAATTCAATATACTTCTATTGAAGTGGATAATAGAAACAGGTTATTTGGGAAATGAACTTAATACTTCCTTAGCTCTGTTCTCCAAGTACAAACCATTAAGACTCCTTCGGAAGCTGCCTATTCTGGATGGCTGCAATGAGGGCATGGGGACCATTTCACAAACTTTAAACCTCGAACCAGAATGTGGGTAAGCAACAGAGATAACCAGCTCAGGAGAGATGCGTACATCGTTACCCCTCATATGTATGTATACATACATACCTTCAATGTGAATTCGTGTGTCGGTGTGCCGATTCGGGCCTCATTCTCTATGCTGTACTCTCGTGCCAGGGCCACTGTGGGCGTGTAGAGGCGCCAGTGCTTCTCTCCCTCCAGCTGCAGGATAAAAACCTACAGAAAGCCAGAGACCTGAGAGCATCAGAGTTTCCTCACAACTCATGGGCAAAGTGCTACCAGAATATTAGCCTTCCCAGGGCTTGGATGAGTTACAAGTTTTAGATAAAAAAAATAAAAGTGAAAGACCAGAAATGCATGTCACTCCACACAAATATAAGTTGCCATACTGGGTTTTTATGCCATCCATATAAAAAAAAAGCAATCATGAATCCTGATATTGGATATTCATTCTTTTTACTTTGTTAGAGCATCTCTTAAGTTCTTCATATCCCAGTATCTCATTCCTTTAAATCTTCTATCAGCTAGAGATAGCTGAAAGCCCATAATCTCTGGTGGAAAAGCCAAGCTTCAGATACTACTGAATGCCTAAAATTCCAACTATTAAAGTCAAAGATAATTTTAATGCTTTCTTAACAGTATTTTTTTTAAAAGCTAGCAGAATGGCTCAAGTAGTAGAACGCCTGCCTAGCAAGCATTAGTCCCAGAGTTCAAGCCCCAGTAACACCAAAAAAAAAAGTTAAAAAAAAAAAAAAACTTGGAAAACGTATTTATATCAAATTGCTCTTAGAAGGATAAAAACAAACTTTTTACTAATATCTCTGCATTCACACCTTATATTAGTACAAAAATAAAGTTATGAAATAGCTAAGCCAAAGAGTTAACTTTTTGGAAGCCACATGAGAGTGAAATCAACTTGTTAAGGTGCCAATGCTTAAGTGAAACCGTGACCCTCATATGAGCTGCCCCAGGATTTTGCAAATAGAAAAAATATATATATTTTTGGTAGCTACTTAAAAAAGAACAAAATGAAAGCAGATGTAAGGACTATTTGTGATCTCACCTTACTTTACTTTGTGACATTAAAGCAAAAGCCAATCACTTTTCTATAGATAAATTCAGTAAATACCTGTTACATAGTAGTGTGTGACTCTTTATGTTAGTAAGGTTGGAAACAACCTCTCTCTTTGAGAAATAACAGGAAACCAGTTTGGAACAATTTGTTTTGATCCAACATTTAGATAAGGTCACGATCTCCAATGAGTGCACAGAAAGAGCAGCCACAGACCTGTTCTAAGAGCCTTTGAGAGCAACATGAACTGAACCCTGACAACTACACAAGCCTGGGCTTTAGGCAACTCCTTCCCCATCCCAGGCAATTCACTTCTTTTCTTACCTCAACATCATCATAATGTGGAGGGAGACCCTGAGAGCCTGCAGGGGTTATGTACACATTTGAGCCAACCAAGGAGCCAAAGTAACATTCCAGCTTCTCCTGGATCCTCCAAAGTTCATCCTTTGAAAACAAAAACAAACAGAAAAAAAAAAAAAGAAAGTAAAGGAGTGGGGAATGAAAAGTTAATTAGAAGTAACAGCAAATGTTCTTATTTACTTAGGAAGTCTTTATTGCACAATTATAGGCCAGATAAAGGTCCTTCAGGAATCTTCCATTCTAGAGAGAACACCACTGAAAAGAAGTGAACAGATAAATGAGACAGGCCACTGGGAGTCATGAAGGATTTTAAGCAGGAGGACATGATTCAATTTATACTTTTGAAAGTTTCTTTGACTCCTGGGTGGAGAATAGATTGTAGAAATGCAAAGCTACTGAAGCAGCAACCTAAGTGAGACATAAGCATTGTGGTGGGAAAGGGATAGAAAGAAACAGAAAAGTCATGACATACTCTGAAAGTAGCACTGATAAGATGTGCTAATGGATAAAGGGATACAGAAGTGAAAGGAGAAAACAAACAAAAACTCCTGGATTTTTGACTTGGGCAATTAGGTCTCAATTTCTTTACTTGGATAAGGTTTGCTTAAAAAACAAAAAGAAAAGTTTTCAGGAGGAAAGAGTTCTACCCCAGAAATGTTAAATTTGGGAGGCTAAGAGGTTAAATGTAAGGTTCTGGCAAGAAGTAAGGGCTGGAGATTTATATTTGGAAACTGTCTACACAAAATGGGTATTCAAAACAATGAGAGCAGAAATGACAGCCTAAGAAGAGGCCAGAAGGTACAAACAGAATTAAAGGCAGGGCTCTCCAGGCATTTATTCCTGAGACTGAGAGAGAGAGAAAGAGAGGGTGTTGAGGAGGGGGAGGGAGGGAGAGAGGGAGAAGATATCTGATTTTCCCAGGACAGATGAGAAGAAAGAGGCAACAAGTAGATCCTGTAGATACTAGCACTTTCTGTGTGCCAGGCACTGCTTCTAAATGCTTTCTTTATACATGTTCGCTCTATAACTTGTATAACAATCCTGTCTCACAAGGGTGGATGAAGAAAATGAGGCACCAGAACACATAATAATTAAATGGAGCAAGGATTCAAATTCATGCAGTCCAACCTCCAGAGTCTATACCATTAAGAAAAGGCAAGTCACCTACACTAAGCAGACACTAAAGAGACCACAGTTTAAGCATATTAAACCATTTGCTGAATATACTAATGACTACAGCTTGAGTCATTTCTACCTTTGGACTAAATGGGATATACGATCTTAAAAACACCAAGTGGGAAAGAATTGGGTCAGTATGAAAATATCTTTGGGAAACATCTTTATGTAATCTATTGGGCCTATTATTTATAGATCCCAGAGGTTCTCCTTAGTACAGAAAAAATAATTTAATGGCCTCTGAATAGCTCTGAAAAGTTAACAGAGCTCCAAAGGAGCCTAATTTATTATGAGGAAAAGCCTACAAGACTTGACTTTGTAATATATTTATATAGTAACTGAACCACTAGAAAATCAGGGTGTCTCTTTCACTCTCAGATGTTTTCAGAGGTCTTTTATGATGATACAGGTGACTTTACAGTTCTCGATTCAAGCATCTGTCAGGGGCTGTAACTTATGAAAATATGTCCCTTTTCTTTTTTAGATGTTACTGAAAATGCTACAATTTCTTTTGGACATTCAGCTTCTTAATCTGTCAACTGTCGCCAACTAGCAAGAGATATAGAATCAAACCACCTTGGTTCAAGTTGTATTTACAAGTTACATGAATTTTGTTTCTTTGTTCATTAAATGAAATTATTACCACTCCCACCCCAAGATTATGGGAAACTAAACAAAATAATTTATCTCAAATCTTATTTAAATTTCAAAGCAGTATATAAGTGTTATGGCTTTACCTATGTTAACTCAAAACAAAAAAGGCTCCTAAAATCTGTCTTTTCCTTTACCGTATGACAACCTACATGAATGAAGATGGTGAAGATGTTGAAGACAAGGAACAAAGAAAAAGGAAAAGTGGAAGTCTCTTTCCTAATTGGGTACAACCTCTTCTCTCTACTAACCTCTCTCTAATTCCCAAATGTAATCTCCATAGACTTAAAGTAGAATGCCACAGCTAAAACCAGAAGCTCATGTGTGTATCTAAAGAAAGACAAAATAAACTGGGAAAAAGCCCTGCAAGGTTTCAATTAACGGCTTTCAAAACTGTGATAGGAAAATGACTTGAATTTGGAGCCAGAAATCCTTACTAGATCACTCAGAACAGCTATGGAAAGTCACATCTGTGAACTCTAGGTTCTTCACGTATAAAATGGAGACTGTTACGGTTGACCTAACATTTTGAATGTTAGTTAGAAGGTTTAAAATAAAATACGTGAAAATATTTGATAAATTCTAGAATGTTATATAAAATGCAAATGATAATGGCAATTCCTGTCACCCATATTTTGACATTTGGATTACCAAAATCAAGCATGGAACAACTTCTTACAGTGTTCTAGTTACTTCCTTACTTATTTCTAGACTATGTAGACTATTAAGTTGCATATAGTCTGTGACCCAATAAACAAAGGGCTAAATGTCCAATCTAATGTCTTCTTAACCCAACCAGTGATGAACTCCCTCTGGACTTTTCTGATGTACGCATTCCTAAACAAACACACACAACACTAAACTTCCTTATAATACAGTACTTAGAACAACTCTGCTTCTAGTGTAAGAGGGTGACTTCTATGGCTTATAGGTCTCTCAGGTACTAATGATGGAAACAAAGGGAAAGAAAACAAAAAGCCACAGCCAAGTCTAGCCTGGGGCTGAATTTGGGCTAAGAGTGCTCATCCTTTCCTTATTAATAAACCTGGTTAAAGAACAAAGCAAATAGGGCAAAGGAATTGCGTTCTTGGCCACTTGAACACTGAAGGAGGAATGTGCAGAGCTTAAGTAGACAATGAGAAGAGCCCTAGGGGAGAGGATTTCAAAAGATACCACACCTATATTAAATAGTAACTTGCTGCTGGTTTATAACCAAATTATATGTAAACAACTTCACTGAATTCATTTGTTCATAGTTCTTAAGATTTCTAAAAACCACCATTGAAAGTTCTACTTCTACTCAGGTAGAAGAGTCAAAGACTAACTTAGAAAGAAGCATCTTTTTGCATAGTGTTCATATTTTCTGAATTCAAATCACAACTGGGTCTGGGAAAAGATCTAGAAATTCTTTTCTGAGTGCTAATGCCAAAGGTTAGCATTTTCGGGACATTTCAACTTCTTAGGATTGCCTGAGGTAGAATCAGGACTTGTCCTTAAGAGTATTTACACTTCATCCAGAATATGAATAGGTTCAAGATCCTTTAGACAAGGAAAGGGCATTTACCAGATGAAGCCTAATGGAATCTAACAAGCCAAGTCCTGGGTTAAATCATGAGAAACACTGTTGCTATGGCAGAGCCCTAAAAGCCACTAGCACAACCAGAATCCATTTCCTTCCATAGGGAAGCTCCTGGAACCCAGCTTTCTCTTCCATGTTGGCATTTTGATTCAGCTTTGGGTCACATGAAGGGGTTCCCAAGCAGAGATAAAAATTTATATAGAACTTAGAACAGGCCCTCAACTATTCTGAGCTATCTGTCTCACATAAAGATCTCACATTTCCAGAACAGCAAATTAGATCATCTTAAAACTGTATTTTATAAATGTGGAAACTGAATATAGAGGAGGCAAATTATTTCCCAAATGTTGATCACAGATATAGAACAAATTTAAAAATTAGCCAGTCTTCTAGATTGACAATTCAAAGCTATCCTCCACCTATGATAGCCCCAGGAGCTATTCAAGAATACCACCCCTCAATATCACCAATTTAGCTGTTAGTATGGGTAAAGGGAGGAGACAAAAAATAAATAAGGATAAAGACTCTCTCTTTGACATGTATCTAGTATGTGTTCTGGTCATGCCTTTGAAACCTCTATTTAGAAAGATGCAGGGGAGGCACTTTCAAGAAAAATATCACCTTGATGGTATCATGCCTTCAATTACAATGAAAGACTGACCATGTGCAAATCTCTACCATATATGAAAACATAAAATAAAGCCACCCCAAAGAACATACTCTGGAAGTACAATTCTACTTTAATAGCATTGTAAACTTGTAATATAATTTAGTTTTTGCAACTCAGTGATACCCAACAATGTCCATCCTGAGTTACTGGAGTCCAAAAATTTTACCAAAAGGTAATGAAGACTCTCTTAGTTTGGAATGAATTTAAACATGGAATAGGTGCTACCCCTTCACAAAGTGGCAAGCAGCTCACAATTATACCACAGACTCATGCTTGAGCTGATCTGTGGCCAAATGTTAGTATTTTCTATGTATGAGGGAGGATTCTTCAAGGGGGAGACCTATTACCTTAAATCTCTGTGGTTGGTGAAACTGAATTGTTGCCCTTTTCTGATCAAAATCTTTTCTCAGTTGAAGAAAGTGTGCTCTGCCATCTTTATTTAAAACCTTCTTCTTCCCATTGACACACCGGCAGACATTCAGGTCTCTTCCATAGTACATACCACGGTTACAAAAACTCTTCAGATCTGTTAGTCTGAACAGGGACTGGTAATATGCGGCCACTACAGGGTCATTCCTCTGTATGAAAAGAGGCTTCTGCTCCCAGAATTCCTTGAAAAAAGTCTCTGTCTTGATGGGTGAGATTAAACTTTCAAAGAGACTACTGGGGTTGGCAAAGTTTAAGATGGAAGGCCCACCAGCTGCCTCCACCTTTGCTTGTTTATAGGGCCTTCCCTCTTCCTTTCCATTCTCTGCTGGCTTTACTTTCCTTGGCATCTTTCAGCCTTCAACGGGAAGAGAGGCAAACCTATTGAAAGAATGAAACACCAACTGTTAGGTTCAGGGAGTGTCAGGACTGGTGTTAGTGGGTCTTATACTATGCATGAACATTACGCCTTTTAATGAAATCCCTTCATAAGTCAATGCCACTTCTTCCAGGATATGACACAGCCTTAAGCCAACGCCACCTCTTCCAAGATACCATTCAGCCTCAAACACCACTCAGATGGTAAATTCACCTAAAGGAAAACATGTTTTTCTTGTGTACACAAGCACTAAGTTTTATTTATTAGGATATAATTATCCCAAACTAAACCATTCAACTGTTTCGGCAGTTTCTAGTTACAGGGTTAGCCAGAAATCTTGAACTTGGCCAAAATCAGCACAGGTCCTGAATCTAATTAGATGTACTCTAAATTACAAACACTTGATGGAGAACAATCAACTTTTGCCTGCTGCCCCATGTTACCCACCAGCCAGCCACCACATCTAACTGTTGCTTAAGTAGGAACCAATTGTGCTCTGAGCCAATGGTGTCACCTGGTGGCTGGAATGAGACACTGCTAGCTCCTAAAACAATCCCAACTACTTGAAACTCTTCACTTCCAAAGTTGAGCTTCTCAGAAAACCTTCTCAGAATACTATACTAGAACCTCCTCCCAATTAAAAAAAAATAGGGGCTATAAAGCAAATGCTAAAAAGTTATAGGCCAATTCTTTAAAAAAGCAACTGAAGTAAAGACATAATTAAACACCAACATCTTTAACTTCTAACAGCATCTCTTCAACTTTAGTGTGCACACAGATCACAGAGGCATCAAGTTATGATTCCCTAGATTTAAGGTGGGCTAGAAACACATTTTTAATAAGCTCACAGGTGATGACTATGCTGTTGATCTGTGGGTCACTTCCAGGTAGCAAGAGGAACAACACTCCAATATTGCCAAGGTTTATTTTTATTTTTTTAGAACTGCCCCCAAACCACACTTAAAATATAGTGAGTTATCCCTCACTGAGAACTGTAATTCAAATTGTATGTTTCCTTAGACTACAAAATTCTATTTTAAAGTACAGATCAAGTATCCCTTAACTGAAATGCTTGGGACCAGAAGTGTTTGTTTTTGGAATATTTGCAAATATATAATGAGACACCTTGAAAATGGGACACAACTCTAAACACGAAATTTGTATTTTGCTTTTCATCACTGTGTATTTGAGATAATCAGCATAAAGGAGGAAGTTTTATTTTGGCTCATGGTTTGAGAGCTTTTAATCCATGATTGATTAACTCTTGTTCTGGGGCCTGTGCCAGTCAGAATTATTAAGGTGTAGAGGATGTGATGAAGCAGTAACTAATCTCGTGGTGTCAGGGAAGCAGAGAAAGAAAAGAGGAAGAGAGGTTAGGATCTCAGTATCTTCTTCAAAGTCATGTCCTCCTGTTACCTAACTTCCACTAGGCCCCAGCTCCTGAAGATTCCACCATAGGTTGCCATAGGCTGGCAACTTATGAGAATTCAAGCTACTCTGTTTGATTTAAAAGGAATAGTGGAAACATTTTCAGAAATGTTTCTCACTAACTACACATCCTAAAACACCCCCCAAGGCTGGCAACCCCTAAGCACAAAGGCCTTTAAATGTTGTTTCAGAACAAAACCATAACAAAATTCATTTGTTATGTATCTGCCCCGGAAGATACATAAAAGATCCTAAAGTTTATTTTATTAGTGCTTGCATTTTAATTGTGACCAGGCATGTGGTCAGGTAGAATTTTCCATTTGTGGCATCATATTGGTACTAAAAAAGTTTTGGTTTTTGGAACACTTCAGATTTCAGATATTCAGAATGTAGTCTCAGTCTCTCTCTCTCTCTCTCTCTGTCACAAAAGGGAGTGCTTTCAACAGATTCTTAAAGTATTTCCTGTTCTCAAAAAAGATTAAGAACTGTTGTGCTTATAAATATCAAATTTGCCTAAAGATCAGTAACTAACTTATAAATGTTATGGGTTCCTGTTTTGTTGAATTACCAGAATTGTAAGATGCTGTTTTTGCCTCTCTTATCATTACAACTAAGGAATATTTCAGCAACATTTAAGACTAAATAGAATTAGTATTCTGGACTGGGAAGTAAACACCCTAAAATAATCTGTTACATATTGCAACAACTAATTTGCAAAAGAACTTTTAAAATGCAACCCAGATGTAAACAAAACAAGTTAGTAGGGCGAAACCTCAAAATACAACACTAACACTATCATTTTAGCATGTACATTTCCCACCAACAAATGGCAGAGTTCTCTCAAAAGACACTCAGGATAAGAGTGGAAAACTAGTACAAACTGATACTAACAACCTACAGTAGAGTAAGAAAAAACTTGAAAAAAAAATGAAATTTTCAGATATGTAGTTACATGACACACGTTTTCTGAAAATGTTCCCAATTTTCCTTTTAAATCAAAAAAGGCCAGCTTGAATTCTCAACCAAAATCAGTATTTTGAATTCTGAAGTGAGGTTAAAAATAAAAGTGATGTTTTACTGAAAACAGATTCAGTAAAACAAGAGTTACACAAGAGTTAACAATAATCTGTATAATCACTATCCTTTGAAAAGCCAGTTTGTGGCTGACATCTGGGAACCTAGATTTCAGAAGGGTTCCAACCACCATTAACTGACAACTCACTATGCCTAAACTGTACAAATGATTCAGTTTATATTCAATACCTGCCTTCCTTCTTGGGGTATGGAATTGTGGTATGTGCCAGTAGATATTGCTTACTTGACCAGCCCCAATTAAAAAACAACAAAAAAACCAACCCTGGGAATGGAGTCGTTAATGACCTTCCTAGGTTAGAACATTTCATACCATTGACACAACTAGGAGCTGGAGGAAAGCGTGGGTGACTCCATCCATTAAGAGACCTTGGGAACCTTGTACCTGGTGATTACAGGAACTCATTTCATGTGCTTCTTTCCTTTGCTACCTGTGCTTAGTATCCTTTTGCTGTAATAAATCAGTACAGTCTTCCCAGTAAATCGCTGAACCTCTGGATGGTCTTGAGGACCCCAACACATAGCTCACATTTAATTTTTAAAACTAATTGTTAAAATGAGTATATATGTATGAAAATGCAAAAATGATACTTGTTGCAACTATTCCAGGAAGGGAAGGGGGGAAAGGAGAGCAATGGAGGGGAAGAATTCAAGTATGATATATTTGATACAATGTAAGAACTTGTGCAAATGCCACAATGTATCCCCACCCAGCACAACAATAAAGGAAAAACAAAAAGACCCTAATTGTTAGACCATTTATAGGTTTGTATCATTGCAGGTACCTTTTAAACTAATTTTATATTCAGCCACACATCTCTCTCTTATCCCACACAATTGTTCAGTGTGGTATTTAAAGGACATGAGCAGCAAGATGATGCTAGTGAAAGGCTTATTTCTTAAAGCATAACATATGAATGAAGTATAAGCACATTCACCAGAAAGTAAATACTTAAGCCTAAATAAAATCACTTAAAGAATTTTTCCACCTACAACCACTAATAAAAATAAACCCCAATACTACATAACAAATGCTTTTCTCAGAACATAAATTCCACTACTTATACTGCCAAAAGTTACATCATTTATTGTTTCTGTGTTCATGTTGAATGACTTGAGGCTCAATTAATTGGAAACTAACTTAAGCGGTTACTGGGCAAATACTCTTTTTTTTTTTTTTTAAGTCTCATACTACTCATTTTGGAAGATAACCATTCCTTTTAACAGCTTTTGGAGGGGAGAATAGATGACATATGTACACCCCCATTAAAAACACAATTCTAAGATGCATCACAATTTCAGACACAGTAAAAAAAAACATGTCTTGGAATCCAACAAACATGGTAACTAAACAAGAGAATGCTTTGCTAAAATAGTGCAACGCCCAACACAAGCCTGCTTACAACTCTCACAGACCACCCAGATAGAAATGAGTAAGTATTTCTACAGAGCTACAGGAGGAACCAAGGGTTTGAAAGCAATTGTTTTCAGTGTCAGTTGACTAAAAAGTAAAAAGACAAAGCCAAAAGATTCACACTTTGGTCACTGTCCCAATAGCTAACAAATACAGTCTTACATTTTTAAGGTATTCTAATATTTTCCAGTCACATTTAATAACAAATCACAACAGCTTCTTAAGAGACAGCTATTAGAACCTAGCAGAGCGTGGCTCATAGGAGGTTCTCCAAAAATGTTTGCTGAATCAATTTTTCAGTCTTTCATCTTTTGTCTATATACAAGTTAGAGAAAATTCTCAAAGACCTTAAAAAAAAAAAAAAAAAACAGGGTTGAGGAAGACTGATGATTTGCCCAGTGGGGATTATTCTGATAGAAACTGCAGTCCTCTAAAAGGCCCAACAGGTATCAGAAGTAATTGCCAGCCTAGGGAAGGGGGTGTGTCTCTCCACCTGAGCCGGTAGTTCACAGCATAACCAACAAGACTTACTGACATGCAAACTTCTGGATTCACTGGATAGCTATTTCTGACAGGGGTGAGGGCAGAAATCTACATGAACATAATTAGGTTCTCCAGATGAATTTTAGATCCACCCACTAGCAGAGGGCTGAAGGTAGCGAACTCAGTTCAATTGCACACACGCCTGACAAACATAACACATTGCCTGTAAAAAGGTTACCCAGGCTGACCTGAAACATTTCCTTTCAGACCGCAGAAATATTTTTTCTAATCTATAGAGACTCTCCTGTTGACCTAAAAGGGCAACCGGCAGATGTTTTTTAGTTGTATTATAGACAGAAGTGAATTAATTGGTCCTCATTATTATAGCTTGGCTACCATGAGGTTACAAAGCATGAGGCCCTGGAAGAAGATCCAGTGACGTGAAAGAGCTGAGTCAATCAGGCCCCTCCACTTAGAAATTAGCCCAGCGAAACAAAACTGACAACGGATGTATAGCTAATTGTTGATGTAATTAGAACCTCCAAAACCCAGGCCTGTATTTTCTGAAGCCACTACGAACCCGGTCTTGTGCACCTGTTGGGCAACCCACGTGTCCAGCGGCCATCCTTGGTGGTTTGACAAATGAATGGACTGGGAACAGGGGAGGCTGGTAGGAGAGCCTGCGCTCCCGCCTACGCACACGATCCTTGGGTTCCCAGCTTGGAACAGGCGCCTTAGGCCTGACCCTGCGCCCTAGCCCCGCAACCCACTTGGCGTCCCGCAACCCACTTGGCGTCCCGTTCCCAGCCAAGCTCCAAACTTTCCGTGCGGTCCCGGGTCTCGGACCCCGGCCAGAGCACGTGTGCTACTCGGTGCCCACGACATCCGTGATTCCCCGCGTAGGGCCGGGCCCGCCACACCAGGCGTGTCCACGTCGCCCGGAGGACCTGGAGCGCATCAGCACGCGCCCTCCGCTCGGCAGCCACGGGCCCCAAGGTCTCACAGCCCGCGCCGGGACGCACAGAGCAGCGGCGCCCGCACCCAGGCGGTTCCGCACACCCTGCCGCGCAACACTCACCCACACGGCCTGTTGCGCGCAGCTGGAGCCGGCGGGGGGCGGGGGGCGGGGCGGGGCGGCGTGGGCACGTCCTGGGCGGTGCCTCCCGCTCCACGCCAACCCCTGGGTCGGCCCTGCGCACGTGGACGCTTCTCTGGGGGAGTTCCGGAGCCGACCATCCCGGAAGCAAGAATTATTGTATGTGAGTGGAACTTTTACAGCTGATACATCCGAGTCTGGAATTTGAGGAGACATAAGTGTGTGAACTTGAACAGCTAAGGCTCCTTTTCCTCATTTATGAAGTGAGCTTGTTCCCTGTTGAGTCTCAATTTCATAAGCAAGTGCGCACCAATTTCCATAGGTTGTTGGGAGAAAAATCAGTTGGATTGGAACCATTCATGCTTCTAAATATTGGGGGATTTATAAAAGACTAGTATTTTTTATTTTTGTTTAAAAGCTTATAGGACAACTGATTTGCACAACTCACAGAATAACACAGATTTACTTGTATGCACTTTGGTCCTTAAAAAGATCTATTTATTTCCTTGTATATGATTTTCATTACTAGACTAACCTTTTAATATAACCTCACTGAGGCACAGTGACATTAAGTAACTTGCTCAAAATTTACACTCATTGGATAGCAGAACTGGGGTTTAAATCAAAAGTCCAAGCTACAGATGTGGCTGAAGTGGTAAAGTCTAGCAAGCAGGAAGCCTTGAGTTCAAATTCCTGTACTGCCAAAGGTTGAGGGGAGAGAACCAAAACAAAAGAAAACCATCTTATTTATTTAGGCTACTATAATAAGTTGCAAACTGTGTGACTTATAGACAACAGAAGTTTATTTCTCACAGTTTTGAAGGCTGGTAATTACAACATAAGGCACCAGCAGATGCTAGATTTAAATGTGTCTGGTGAAGACCTCTCCCCCGTTTATAGAGGATGCTTTTGGGCTGCATCCTCACAAGGTACAAAGGGCAAGAGAACTCTTTGGGGCCCTCTTTTATAAAAGCCTATTCTTGAGGGTTCTACCCTCAGGCATTAATCTCCCTCAAAGGTCCCCCTCCTAATCATTTGGTGATGGGGGAAGGGACACACAAACATTCAGACTGTGGCACTTGGGGACTGAAGGTGTTGCTCTAGTGTTAGAGCTCTTGCCTGGCAAACACAGTAGCCAGGGTTCAAACCCCAACCCCAGTAAGCCCAAAACAACAACAAAAAAACCTTAGCACTCATCAGTGCTCTCTTTGGACCTCTGTCTCTGCATCCGCACACATGGTAAATTTAGCTTACCTAATAAAGCTACTATGAACACGAGATAAAGTAGAGGTAAGCAAAAGAGTCCTAAAACTAAAATGCTGTTCACCTGAGAGGCATTTGTTAAATCTTGTACATCTTAAACATGGTTCCACAGACTGGACTAAATGCCATTTGGACATATTACACATGTATGCTTTACTTCAGTTACAAGGCACTTTAAAGTAACATAATCATACCACCATGGAAAAATTTTGGGGTTTCGTAACTTCAGAAAGCCAAATTTGTTTAAGAATGATCCAGACCAAAGTCTTCCAAGACTATACGTACTATACATCTCCTGGAACTTAATATATTCAATATGATAAGTATACTATCACTATTTAGAATTATATTTTACATATTTATGTAATGGTTTAAGCTCCTTGGTGGCAGAAACTGTTTTATTCAATTCTGAGACCTAGAACAGTGCTTTGCACAAAAGTTGTTACTCAGTATTTACAAAATTGAATTGTGTTAGTATTCCCACTTTCTTTTCTTGCTCACAGCCTAATTTCTTTTACAGCCTGTCCCTGTAGGAAAGTCAGTTATGTTGCATACTTTTTTTTTAATTAAGTGATACTAGAGACCTCCCTTCTCCAAGAGCCCAGCACCAGTGGGTGAAAATATGCCTTAGAATTTTCCAATGATTCTTTCCCTTACAATGATATTTTGTTACTTAACATATTATCCATAAACCTTGAGATAGACTTGTTCATGACTCATACAAATAAGACATGCTCCTGCAGAGGTGCTTTACTTTTATCTTCAGGTTGCTTTGTTAAAAGGTAAACAAGCTGCTATTGAAAATGTTTCTTGGGAGAACCAACAATACATAGATGAACAAGATAACCAGCATCATGATTGTAGGTTAGTTTTCTTATTTTCCATTTAAAGTTTATGATGAACTAGAAGTGATCAACTGATTGCTCCTCAATGTAGTCATACTCAGGAACTGAGAAGCCTGTTAATGGATTTGTTTGAACCTCCATGAAGGTGAGAAATCTACCATATCTTCATGAAGGCAAGAAATGTACCTAATCTAAACTGCTCTGGAAAAAAAAAGAACTCTGAAAAAGAAATTATACATTGTTATTTATTTTAAAATATGTATAAACTTTAGTAAGATAAGTAGTATAAGAGTATGCCAATGAGATTTTCACTTGAAATTTCAGCTAAAGCCACAAAACTGGAGACAGTGATAATATTTAATATCTGTTAAGCACTTACCATCTCCCAGGCCCTTTTAAAAAATCTTGTCCTTAATGGTTCTCATTCTCAACCTTCCTTTCTGAGACAACCCACTCTCAGTCTTTTGAAAGTGTATTCCTTTCCTAATAAACTTTCTTATCACTTTCAATACAGAAAAATAACAATAAAAACTGTTGGGGTCTGAGACCAGCCACCCTCTGAGAGGACAAAGGACACTTGAGACAATGCAAGCTACAAAGTGAGGTTTATTTCTAGCTAGCTAGGGTCCGAGTATGCAGCGGGTTTCAACAAGGACCCTGAATGCAAAGTTTAAGCAGGTCTTATACTCTTTAAAGCATCAATCATTGTCACATAGGAATTCCTCATGCCCCTGGGGTCACATTTTCCTGACATTGCCCACATCCTGGTGGTGGGGTAAGATTATTTATTGGGAACTGGAAAAACACCAGATGTTTACTTATCAGGTTTACCTGTCAGGAACTTGAAAAACACCAGATGTCTTAACATATTGACTCACATTCCATTCAGTATGATCAATCAGAAACACTCCCTGTTCCCAGAAACCGTTTCACCTCCCTTTGTTCCAGGGAGTGGGGCTCGAGGTTACCCAAGGGTCATGCCAGTTATAGCTGATTTTTAGGCTAGGTGGGCTGCAAGTTAAAGTACCCCAACATTCCCCACTTTAGATGTTCATAATGAGAAATCATGCTCATTTGGGTGATACGCGTAAACATTTCCGGGGCTAGGTAGCCCTTCATGTTGCTGTCTCAGGACCATGAGTTGGACTGTACTAACTCGATCTTTTACGAAGGTCACTAGCTTATTCAGAATGCATTGGACTAAAGGTTAAAGTAAGCAGCAGTATAACCAAGGGGCCCACTAGGGTGGAGACCAAGGTAGTAAACCAGGGGGACCTATTGAACCAAGCTTCGAACCAACCTTCTTGGGCTTCTCTTTCCCGCTTCCTTTTTGCCAGTCCTTCCCTCACTTTAGACATAGACTCCCTAACTACTCCCGAATGATCAGCATAGAAACAACATTCCTCCCCTAAGGTGGCACATATTCAACGCTGCTGAAGGAACAGTAAGTCTAGCCCCCGTCTGTTCTGAAGTACTACCTCAGATAGGGAGGTAAGGGATTTTTCTAGGTGACTAATGGAGGCTTCTGTTCTCTCTATGTCCTCGTCTATGGCTGCACACAGCGAGGACATCCCGCTATGTTGAGTAGCCAGGGAGGCTATGCCAGTTCCTGCCCCAGCCACTCCTAGGCTAAGTAGGGTAGCAATGGTTAATGCAGAAATAGGCTCTCTCTTTTTTCTTTCACCTGTTCCTGTATTCCAGTGTGAATATAGGCTCTCCTCAGAATGATAGATGATGCGGGGCAGCACAGTCACTAGGACACAGAATTCTTTAGAGCCATTAAAGACATTAGTCGATAGGCAAGGGGTGAGCCTGGACTGTGAGCATACCCACCATCCATTGTCTTTTGGAATTACCCACTTAATACCATCGCCCCAGGTGGGGTTGTTATCTATAACAGCACATAGGTCCTGTTTTCCCGCCAGCACCTTCCCTAAGCAGGTTCCTTGGCTGCTACTTGTTGTATGGTCAGACCTCTCTTATGGTCTCCCCAGGAACACTGGGGTTTTCACTAGTCGAGACATTGTAGGTGGCATTTAGTCCTATTGCCTCATAGAATGGGGGCCTCACATCAGAGCACAGCCAGCAGGAGGTAGTCATATTAGGGCTGGTGTGGTTCAATGTTAGGAATGCAGCATTTACCAAATTCCAAAGGGGTCCATAGACCCGGTCATGGGGCTGGGCCTTCCCAGGGAAGAGCCAGTTCTAGCAGTCCTGGAGTTGTAATACTAGCATTTGTGTGAGGCCGGGAAGAGACCGGGGTTGTGCAAGGTCGGGGAGGCGGCTCCATATAGGGTGGCTTAAGTACTTTATTGGGGCCTATCGCCCGAGTAGGGGTGGGTTGCTCTGTGAGCCGGATGGTAAATAGGGCTCCCTGCTCTCGGGCCCCGAGCCTCATTGGGTCATAGCGGCGAATCCCCCAGATGAGGCCTGATATCCATCGAGTGTCAACTTTACCTTTTTCTGTAAATTTGATTTTTACAAGGTCACAGCGGGGCCTCCAGCAGCTTCTTTGTTCTGTGATACAGCCCTTAGACATGGTAATTAGGTCTGTTTTTTCTGGGGGTGGCCACCAGATGTTGCCAGTGGACACACAGGACCAGGAAGTGCAAAAATAATTCGATGTCCCCCCGCACTGTTTACTATTACTTTTACCTTTTAGGTGTCCTGGACAGACGTAAAATTTATCCTTCAGAATCCCCACACGGGCAACCAGTTTTGTCAGATCAAAAGTTAAATCGGGGAACCAGATGTTGGGAGGGGTCACCTTGGAGGTCTGAGTGAGAATCTTCCCTGTGGATGTATCTATGACCATCCAGGTGAGGTGGTAGGGCTGGTGGGGATTAGGGTTCT